ACATTTTACAAGTTGGCCATGCCCACCCAGTCACATGGCTGATAAGCCACTCCCATTCAGTCACATGGCTGGAAAGCCACTCCCACCCAGTCACATGGCTGATAAGCCACTCCCATTCAGTCACATGGCTGGAAAGCCACCCCCACAAAGCAAGCCATACCTATAGAAGAGGTTTTTAAAAAAATTGAAACCCACCACTGGGCTGGAGATACACTGGTGGTCTATCATAACAGGTCTTCAAGTCAAAGTTAGCCAGGTATTGGGATTGCAATTGGGCAAAGGATTGGATTAGATCTGTGTTTTTCCATCTAGGCAAGTTTAAGATGGATAGACTTCAACTCCCAGAATTCCCTAGCCAGCAAAGCTTGCAGTTGAAGTCCACCCATCTTAAGCTTCTCAATCTGGAGAAACATTGGTTTGGATCAGGGATCAGCCACGTGCGGCTCTTTCATCCCTCTGCTGCGGCTCCCTGTCGCTCAAAATATGTGTCACAACCATCAATGTGCAACACACACATTGGCACATGACTTACTGAGCTTTTCAACCCCAGGCAGGCCAACCATGGATAAATCCACGAAAAGAAAAAGCTTCAGAAGAAAACAGAATGTTTAATTCAACTACATATGCTAGTTTTGTGGTCGCTCAGGAAATAATCGGGCACAAGAAGGGTTTTGTGGCTCCTAGTGTTTTCTTTTTTTGTGAGAAGCGGGTCCAAATGGCTCTTTGAATATTTATGGTTGCTGATCCCTGGTTTAGATGATCCCCAGGGTCCCTTCCAACTCAATGACTCTTATGATAATTAACATTTTCCAACTAAGTGCTTTTATAGTTGCATTAGTGGTTTTTCAGAGGTGCAAATCCATGAAGGAGAGGATTTGTGAATTTAACAAACAATGCTATTTATAGGGTTGTTATGGTGGCCACGATACATTAATTACTGCACAGAGTTGAGTGCAAAGCTAATGGAAAGTTGAAAGAACTGTTAGAAGGAATGTCCATCTGGGTTCAGTTCCAAGTGGGGAAAAAGACACCGGAAACATGGAGGCTGCTTGGAAAGATGGCTTAATGATGGGCAGGATCCCAAGGCTTGAGCTCTTGAACAGAAAAGGGAAAAGATGTTGAGAATCCTTGGGTTTTATGCCCTCTCTGAGCTTTTAACTTCCTGGGGCACAGGAAGAGTATCCTGATTGGTTGCTCCCAGAGGCCTTAGCTAACTTTGTAGGTTATCCGTGTGCCAAGTTTGGTTGAAACTTGGTGGATGGTGCAATGAAGGAGAATGAAACGGGGTAGATCTTTGTTATGTAGAATAGACTGTCTCAGGCCTTAACAAAGGTGGGATTCTGAGTTTTTGCTTCTCTGAGTTTCTACTTCTCTTTTAGGAGAAATATTTTGTCTTTTTAGTACATCTCTAAAATATTTCATTATTCTAGGAGAGGGGGTGGGTTTTAACTTCCAACAGAACAATCTCCCATTAGCTAAAATTTATATAAAATATGCAAATCTCTCTTATAAATGATGACACAATTGGGAATTGGAATCAATTCCTGCATAAATAAATGACTTTGTCCATGATTATTAGCCAGTCTGAAAAACCACGGTAATAGTTGGACTTGCTGAATTTTGGGGGAGGAACGATTTCTAATTCTAAGGACCTTACAGGTGCATTGATCTCTGACAGAAATAATCAGTCGCTAATACTGGTGGGCAGAGGTGGGTTCCTACCAGTTCGCACCTATTTGGTAGAACCGGTTTGTCAAATCTACCGAACCGGTTA